GGAGGTATGGATATTTTCTGGAAAGTTCTACACATTTAACATTTACTAACTTAGCAGAGGTTGAAATATCACTGCTGCATTGTTAACAACACTGTCCTTGGAGATGTTAATTGCGCTATATATGTAAAAATATCGGAAGAGAATGTTCCTTCGGGTGTCTAGATGCCTGATGACAAAAGCATCTGCTATGCCAACTTTCACTGGGTGGTATGGCAAGGAAGGAATCTTTCCTACTTCAATTGGGATCTGAAACATAAGACTGTATTAGCCTCAAAAGAGATTAAAGTCCTGTGGAGACCGCATAGACACAGTACAGCAGTTTCAGTACATCTAATTTGATAGCCTGCATAGCAAGCGTTCCTGTACAAAGAGCTTTTCTGCATTCTGGCCACGCATACATTGGTAAATTTGCTTTTGCAGGGAAAACAACAACCAGTCATCAGCTTCTAAAATTTGGTCTTTCGTTATCTGGACACAAAAAATGACTCAGTAAAGCTAAGCAAGGTTGCCAAAAAAGACTATCAAACATTAGTACTCCTTCACTGGTTCCTGTTTGGCACATGATCGATAACTAAAACAGCAGCTGAAAAATTTTAAAAGCTTTTGAACTGAATCCAGCTGGTAATAGAGCCACCAAGTACATAACCTCTAAAAGATAGTGTCTTCTGAGTAAAATCGTATATGTACCATCCACATCAAGTCTAACAAATCTTCGCTAAGGCTAGCACAGTTTCACAAACCCTCCTCCACGACACTGTGCAAGTTACACTCGAGTTATTCCTGGAATCATTTAATCGAACTTGATACACTTGTCAATCAAGATGACCATGCTGCACCAATCAGGAGGCCCGTTCGTGGGCAAACAGGATTTTCAAAATCAAGGGGTTTGCAGGCAACATTCCCTCTCTCGCCCAACTACCCCCTGCTTCATCAAATTTTTGCTCTTGCTCCAATTTATGTGCGGTCAGAATGCAGAAAAGCTCTTTCTACAGGAACTAGCAGGCTACTGCTTTGATGGATCATACATAAATTCATACATACTTAATTTCATACTTAGGTAAAACTATGGCGACAGTATAGCAGATGTGGGTCGACCTACCATAGTACATGTAAGTAATACCTTACTAATGAAAAAATAGTAAGTATTACCGAGAGACAGAATTGTTCAGGTCCCTGTTCAAATTTGTAACCTTCTGACATAAATCTTGAAGTCTATGTTTGCTCACTGATGTTTGGTATTCATGAAGAGTTTTACTTCAGATTGAGACTTTACAGGTGGAACATCCATGGTCATTAATAAAAGTACCTAAATCTATATATTGAATACCTTTCTGTACTCTGATGAAGGCTGACAGAAGCCACCATAATAATAATAATTAATTATTATTATAATTACAATAATTATTGATGTCACATTCATTTGATAAGGCTGTACATGTACCTGTTTGTATGCAAACCAGATTCTGCCATCTTTATGTAGGGTGCACTGGAAGGTGAATGGTTTATCTATGTGTGGAAGAATAAAGCAAAACAATATCTGTTACTTGCAATTTGTCAGCTCCAGGGAAATTCAAAAAAATTTAATACAGAAACCTTTTGCTGAACACTATTGCATATAGTTTGACATAATTGATTTAAATCTACAGATGCTTACACCGTATAATTTATCCCTCAGCTGGTTAATTCATATTTAATCAGGGTCCAATCATTCACTAACACGGGTAAAGACAGTACTTACTGTTTGTATGCATTAAAATCCCTAGAGGGGGTAACTCCCAGAAAAATTGGGTGGGGGCATGCAGCCCGCTTCCCAAAACCCTCCCTATTTAAGACCAATCTGCTTATAACCAGAAGTAATTATAAAACAGGATTTAACAGAAGTAGAAGACAGTTAATCTACTGGCAAAAAAAGCATTTTTGCTATCAGTCAGGATCTGTGAACCTCACTCTGAAGTACAAATTTGATTTCCTGTTAGCTACAAAATTGCCAGCTGCCAGTACATTTTGACAGGGCTGCTCACGTCTAAATAAATTTGCCCCAACCTGTTGATTGGAAATGCATAATAAGATAAAAATGTCTCGTTATATAAATTTACCAGTAGCGTTCTCATGTACATGTAGATGAACGTTATACCACTCTACAGTCAACTTTGATTCTACGATCAGAGATAAACAGAATAAGTCAAGAACTTTTAATAATAAATATGAATTTTCACTTTTTGAATAAACTTAAGAATACACTAATTAATATTTATTTAATATCACAATTAACAGGTGCATGAAATTAGCTAAGGCCCTGGCAAAAATATAGCATCATTCAAAGTAATATGTACACACAAAAATTAACTTAATTACCATCATCAAGTGTGTAAACCTTTGAGTCCTTGCTCAAATGAGGATTAAAGTACGCCATTAGTGGTGCTAGATACTGAACCTGTGTCATGAGCTTAGTGTCATGTACATCCATGTACAGGAAACCTTAAAAAAGATTGATGGTAAAACCACAATAAGGATAGAAATGACATCTCATTAAAATGCAAGTACTGTAAGCGTGACTGACTATTAAAATTGCACACCCTTGAGTAGTTTTTACTGTGCTACTATGTCATTAATAAACAAAAATATGCATGAATTAATATTAGATGCATCTCCACTACCGCTACATGGAAATGAGTGATATCTTTTGTTTCTTAAATATGCATACATGGGAGGTGTGGTGGCCTCATGGTGAGTGTGGATCGAGCAGTCCTGAGGGTCAAGCCCTGGCTGGTGACACTGTGTTGTGTTCTTGGGCAAGACACTTTACTCCTACAGTGTCTCTTTCCACACAGGTGTTATAAATCAGTGAACTTAATGCTGGGGGTAACCATGCAATGGACTTAAATAAGCATCCCATCCAGGGGGAGCAGATTACTCCTAAAACTCCTATTACTCCAGAACCGAGATATTAGCTCTGGCCTAATGGGCCACTTGGCTCGTATGCAGACTTAACCTTTTTTTCTCCATATGCACACAACAACCAGATGAAAGCCTTGAATTTGTTTGATATTGTCATTGAATGTTTTACACTGTTCCTACCTCCTGTTGTAAGCATTACTTCATTAAGCAAGTGACCATAGTAGGGAAACTGAAAACTCAACTTGTGCGTCTACCAAAAATGAACTATGGTTAATAGGTTTATTCACTGATCTGCTTATTAATAAAACTGTTAATCTGTTAATAAGTTAACTAGATACTGTTAATCTGCAAGTCTCAGAACTGTTTAGTCTAGGCTTACTCAAAACAACAAAACATGTCAGATGCCATTTTATGACAATTTATAACTACATGTACTTTAAATTGACTGAAGATATAATCTGTACATAAATTCTTATTGCCAAGTAACCAAGAAACTGTCTACTAAATCATGTGCAGTTGAAATCTAAAGAGTGTTTTTTTTTTTTTTGCTAAATAATGTGGTACATGTGTTATATCAATAATCACTTATTTAATAATATTATTAAATATTTTAACATATTTTTTCACTGACTACTCAGTGTTAAATTGTGCCAGCACTTTACATAGCCATCAGTCTGGGTTCCGTAAAACAAGCTACAGGTTACAACAAAGTGACGTGCTGAACACAGTTTCTTTCTTTGAGTAAAATATAGTTATCCAAATCAACTTGCAGCTCAAATTAGCACCACCATGGAAACCTAACCTGTTACAAATAAAAGTGAATTTTAATTCTGATTTCAGAAAATTCAGTCATTTACAATTTCTTCACACATGCACAGTAAACCCTGACATTTCTACAATTTCAATGTGGACTTAATAAAGTTCTCACAGAAATAGTTTCAATACAATTTTTAGCTCTAGGAAAAAAATTAATAATTTCATGCCAACATACCTGCCTAAGAAGATAACTGTCCGAAAGGTAAGGATGAACTTTGTGATTTTTATTTCCTCGAACATTTATCCAATACTCTTGACCATTTTTGATAATCTGGGATACATAATATTTATGGTCTTCCTGAAATAGGAAATAAAGAAGATTTGAAGTGGCTGAAAAGTGCAAAATGAAAACTATATTTATCTACAAGAACGTGGTATTAGTCAGTTAATTAAAAAAATTACTAGTAACAGACACTAACAAAAATTTTCTTTAGAAGATTTCCCTGACTCAAACTGGGACTTTTAATTAACTTAATAACTTAATTTTTCATGATAAAAATTAGCTGGCACTATAAACGAACAACATTTTGGCCAATCAACAGTCATTTTCAAGTTCGGGGGAAGAATATAATTACATGCATAAATATATGGTTAAAACCACTAAAATATGTGTATGGAAACGTGTACAATAGGCGATAAAAGTTAAAAAGCTTAATGCGCATGGTATGCACAGTGCATACCCTGCATACTACTTTTAACTTACAATTTTTTTCAAGGAAGTCCCCCTTCAGGACATTCATGCAAAATATTACTTTGTATATGTGGATTTTTTCACAATACTGTGATCAGATATTGGGTATTGTGTCAGAAATGAAAGAAAGCTTGAGGGTCACTACCTTTGCTTCAGAGATGAAGAGGGCAGAAAATCCAAAATACAAAAGCCACATTAAATTCAAAAATTTAAGAGGTCTCTGAACCTTACCTATAGAATTTTTTTAAACTTTGCCAAAAGTTATGTCTTATCATACTTATCACAAGTTAATAATATAAAAAAAATTCACTGTGCCGTTTTTGAATTATAAGTCCCTAAAGCTGTATTTAAGGGTGTATTTAGCAAGTCATACTGTTGCTATGGTAACCTATTACATCACAAAAATGATAACATCATGTTCACTGATGATTGGGCAGTTTGTTTAATACCATGATTGTAGCCTTAAGTGATAAAGAGTGGTAATAATGACCCCTCAGAATCTAAACGCTGGAAACTGTTTTGAGTCACCTTAAAAAATAATTTTGGATCTATGAGCTACGTAGATTTTGACAATTACCAAAGTATTGCTACTTGATAATAATCTTTCTTCAAGGTCAAATCCTCAAATATCTAGAACAATTAAGTAAGTAAACGTATTTTACAAATTGTTTTATTAATTACTCCTTTGCGTGCTTTAGTTAACAATAATTGATGTCTAAATAGAGATTACAAACGTCAAATGAATGAAACTGACCTGAGTTGTCGTATCGTTACAAGACAAGCTTTCATTCTGACATTCGGTGTTATTTATAATAGGAACATTTCTTCTATATCGGTGGTGACGAACTTCGTCTATCGTGTTTTCGGCCTCCAACAAAGATCTGCCATGGTGACGCGAGTCACGATATTTGAAGGCTATGAACAGACAAAATAAGAAAATGAAAACAATTACTATACGTGTAATTTACGAAATGTCAAGTAATTGTCAGATAAAGCAATGATGCAGCAATCAAAAACAGTCAAAAATATCCGGCAAATTGTTACATCAGGTTGTGGTTGACTCGACAAACAAACACCAACAAGTAGGCAAATTTATTTACAGTAGTTAAACAAAATTACGTAATTTTACTTAGCATACTTTCTAGAGAGCCCGTTAAGGAACGGATCTTGACTAATATTTCCGTGTGAGCTTAAATGAACCCACCTTAAACATCAAGAAACACAAAATGACTTGCTCTTAAAAACAGAACGTTATTTTAAGTGCTTTACAAGCCGAAAAGCTAGAAGGAAGTTGCTAATTTCAAAAAAAAAGCTTAGTCATTCCATATATAACCTCCCGAAAACATAACGGGAAATATTTTCGCAGCTTTGTACACTAATAACTCGTAACCGATATTCTCGTGAAAATATTCTAAAAGCAAGCTTACGTAGTTAAGCTTACGTACTTTTTAGAGAACTTTAAATAAGTTAAGTAACGTCTTACCTGCACAATGAAGATGAAAACTTGGAAGAAGAACTCCGAAAACGAGCAGAAGAGACGAACACTTCATGGCGCCGATCAAAACAACAGAAATGAAGACTTACTGTATTTCTGGAAAATGTCGTCACCGTCAGCAGGTTCGGTGCTATGCAACTGAACTGAATTACGTGAAAACAAATTCACTAAATATTAGCAAGCAGTAGTCCACTTATTGGTCGACAATTACATGAGCAATATGCGAAGTCTGCACGTCATATTAAATTCCTTGAATTAAGCTTTCATCAGCCTATCGAAACTACAATTTTGTTAGCAAAAACTGGGCTAAAGCCCGGAGGCTAAACTACAGAGGCACACATAATTTTACTTCTCCTTGCATGACCACGCAGCTGGCTCGTTCTGTACAGCGCTGAGAATGTTGATTAAAGCTTGTGTAAAATAATACTTCTCGTCCAAATGGCATCTGCCATCCGTCACGATATCAAAATCACAAATCCCTCACCCGACGAAAAGCACAAAAAAACCAAACTTTACTTGATTATAAACAGAGTCAAACCCACTCGAATGCTCGAGCAGCGAACGGAAAAAACCTAGGTTATACTGAGTGAGCGATCTGTGACAGCCGGAATTAGGAACTTCATTTTGCCGCTCGTTGTTGTGAAAACAAACATAGCTAGCCATGCGTTCTGCGATATACCTTTTCTAGACTAATTAATCTCTGCATTACGGGGGAAAAGCGACTAGAATTCCATCATCAAAATACAGATAACAGAAAAAAATCTTACCGTAGGATTCCAATGTGTTCTCCCAGCCGAACAGCTCGGTCTAAACAGCCGGTATCCGCAGGGACCCGTCCCTGGGCGTTTTGTCTTAGTCTTTTACGCAACATAAAATCAGCGGCGGAAACGGTTTTTCGTCATGTAGGATGACATGAAGTGTATCAGAATCCATGATTCGCAAGATGGCGGCCAGCTCACTTCGTTTTATTGGTGAAGTTTACTCGATTTTTGTTTAAATCGTTAGCTTTTTGATTATTTGTACTGAGAGTTATTTTTC